GGGATAAATTGTGATTAAATTAAACGAATATTATATCTGTCTTAATAAAATGTCTTTTCAATTTACACATCTAAAGAGTGCAAATCAAGGTTGCTACGAATAAAACACGCTTCTTTCACACGAATAACCTTCATTACATCTCAATAACAAAAAAAAATACGTGAACCCAGGAATATGTTCTAAGAATTTTACTCTTGAATAAAATATGCACTTTCAATACCAAGCTTAAAAGAACTCTATCAGAACGAAGGTTTTGATTGTTTTAAAAATTAAATTACGTAGATAACAGATTTTTAGTTGCAATGAAATTAAAAAGAAAATACAAATATAAACTATATCGTGACATTTGGTCATATTTTGTAAGTCTATGCACTCACCAGCTCGAAGGCTAGATGGATCCTTAATACACCACTAGAAAGTAGAACTAGTGAAGCTAACTGGTCAATTTCGAGGAAGTGAGGATGTTTTCCCTTGCTTTCCTCACTCAGCGAGAAATCTTTCACAGCTCGGATGGAGTTATTCAGCACAACCCAATTCTCCAGCAGTTCCTTGCACCCATACAGTAGAGATTGTACTTCTGAGGAAGCTATAAATTGCTTTTGTCCCTGTAGTGTCACTATCAAGCTCAAATGCATGAAAAACGAGCACACTATTCACATGATTTCGAAGCATTATATAAGTAGTAATTTAAAAGACAAGAATATATGTTTAGCAAAAGGCATAACCGATATTTTTTAGTTTCCCTATGGCATGAAAAACTAAATTGGACAACCATTCCTAACTTCATTGGGATTTTGTACAATTTTCCTTACAGCAAATGAAGTGTTGCTTCCTGATCTCCAACGCTCACGACAGTAGCTTGTCTTTCTTCCCCAACGTCACCCGTCGTTTTTTCTTTCCGATTCGAGCCGATATTTCCCGATCGATCGGAACGTACTCAATGCTTTGCGAGTTTCAGTCGAATATTTTGATTTTTGAGAATTTACATGAAGCCTAAAAAATAATTTCAAACATTTCTAAAAAATCGCTCCAATTTTTTTTATTAACGTACATGGGAGTAATTACTTCATTGTGTGATATATGGGGAGAGTTGGCCGCACTTCTGCTGGTGGGATACTTCTTAAAACCGTTAACTTTGTATATCTTGACATAGTCCCTTGCTTTGCCTCCGATATAGTTAATAGAAATTGTGATCATTAGGCCACAACACATCATAGGGAATTGGCAAATAGTATACGCATTTTTCATTTCATATCCGTAAATTTTTCTCATAAAATTTAATAATTTAAAAGTATAGTTTAATTCAATTATTATGATAGTCAAGTATTTTTTTATGGGGCTTAACTCTGTTATCAATTATGGAAGTCCGTGTTAGCGTACATTTTTAATGTATAATACCATAACATATTCTCTCAGTAATATACATTCGTGCAAGATTCAGTGACTGATATTTGACGTGCACAGTTGTTTCTAAAGCTAGTTTCAAAAAACACTCCATCTATTTCATGTACAATCTTCGTAACCATTGGATAACGGGCTCTTCATACTTATAGGGTCTATCAGAATAAGAGCTGTTTCCATTCTATGCAAACATAAATTACGTGTCTATTCATGGACTGTTCTCTTTATTTACTATTCATTTATATTGGAGGATACTAGAGCTAGAAATATGTTGCGTACACTTCTGCGCTATATAAAAAATATCCTCTGTACAGATGTAGATCACGAGTCTCACGAATCTATTCTATGCACATTAGAACATAGACTCACTTGCATTTGCATACTATTGTGAGGCAGACCTAAAGGCGCAAGACAGATCACGTGCATGTGCCAAGCAAGGTCTCAACCAAACACGGCGGGCAAATATAAATTATTTGTGTACTTCACTGACAAACAATAGGCCATGGACCATGAATCAAAACCAGAATTAGGTTCCTCGACAGTTGGGATACACCTTTTGGCACTTGCGTGCTTGCTTAATCGATCCAATTAGCGCCTTATTTAATCTTCCTCTGGGGGAAATTCATGCCATTAATTTTTAAGATCAATCACAAGCTCATTAGCTACTCTATATCGATCTATGCATACTGAAGAGAAATTTGCACGAAGAGAAGTGAATGGAGTGCAGAACGCAATTATAACGACCACAAGGAGAGTCTAGCTTTTCAGGGATGTCAGGTAGCGAGAGTAAAGGGAGAATGTAATATATAGTCAAAATAGGAAATGAAAGGAAATATGGAAAACGTAAAAACATCCTATCTATTACGAGTATTATGACACTATATTAATTTATTTATTTATTTTACCCCCAAAAACTAAACGGTTAAAAAATAAACGGGAGAATTGTCCCGCTAGCCGACGTGTAGTTCGGCGCCAGATTTCACCCTCCAGCAGGGAGGGACATCCCCACTTTCAGACATGAAAAACACTCATTACAACAGGACAAACGCCGTATTTAATCTACCACTGGGGGAATTCATGCCATTAATTTTTAAGATTAATCAAAAGCTCATCAGCTAGGCTATTCGATCTATGCATACTGAAGAGAAATTCAACTGGACAAATGACCATATCAGTGGTCTTGCCGGAAACATCAATCAATTGATCGATTGCTTCCACTCAATTTTCTAACATTGAATTCCGGCTCATTGTGGTGCACCAATGTTTCATCTCCTGTGGCTAGTCTTCTCAAAAAGTCATCACACTCATTATTATAGCGGTGCAATAATATTTGGCAGAGCACAACACGTCTCGCTTGTATTCTGCCGTCAGTTCTCTTGGCATTCATTTTTCAATTACTCTTGGAAACCTAGCGTCAAAGATGATGTTGAAGGCACAGTTATCACTAACCTGCGAAGCACCCACATCGTTGGATACTCGACATTCCTTTAGTACCACCTCCTGCACTAACTGAATCTTCCGTCCGTGGTGGTGGTGGTTGTGGTTGACGGGCGGCGTGCTTCAGTATTCCTATACGTTTCTGTGTGCAACCATGCTCTCATAGTCTCTTTTGCACGGCAAATAATGCGAAAAAGGTTATAAGTCACTCACAAGACAATAGTAATGAAAAAGACAGTTTATAATGTGCATCCAGAAGTAAAGAAAATCTAGGGATGTGAGTGCGCGCGGAATTAAGTATAATTTTTTACCGTCCTTGTAATACCATTTGCAAAATACCCAATAATATTTGCGGTACAAAGATTACTGCGGATCAAAGAGTACTCCGAATATTTCATATTCATTATATTTGGGAAAGAGAAAAACTACATAAAAGCGAATTACACTATCAAAGAAGTCGTTCCAAAATAAAATAAATTTGTTCACAAATACCAACCTAAATTCGGACATAAGAAAGAAATTTCTGGATAGTTATATCTGGAGTGTCCTATTATACGAATGTGAAGGATGGGCGCTTTTACAAAATGAGAGAAGTCGTTTAGAGCCCGTGAGATGTGATCGTGGTGAAAAATACTGGAGCTGGGCTGAAAAAATTTAAATAATGTAATTTTAGAAACAGTGAATACTAAAAAATATTTGGAACAGGAATGTAAAATTCTTTGAGCGTATTTTTAGGCACAAACAATTCTTAAACACAATTTAGGACAGTAATCTTGTGGGAAAAAGAGGCAGTGTTAGACGTAGAATAAAAATTTTAGAACCATTTCACATCGAATTACATTTCTAAAACAATGCTTAGATGAAAAGGACAAAGGAAGACAGAATGTCGTGACAAGGCACTTTTTTGCCTTTAGAACGATGATGATGATGATGATGATGATGATGATGGGTAAGCGAAGAACTGACACTTTTGCTATCAAAACCAGCTTGTTCCATTTGCTTAGAATTTACTGGAGAAACAAACATACATTGCATCCACATGCAATATGATAGGAAACGTATTTTCTCTCTCCATATTTTTATCTGAATAAGCAAGATATGAACAAAATTTTCTCGAGGGCTTTGAAGAACCCACTTAACATAGCAAAGGTGTAAAAAAATTGAGAAATTTTGAAATGAGCTGATTTTGATACGCGTATCTCTTTAATTATTTGTAAAAGATATTTTATAAACCTCTTACAATAAACATTGAGCCAAGTATTTTGTAATAATTGAAAATGTTCCAGTGGATTCCTTTTTCTCATTTCTCCAGAAGAAATCTTTTTCCAATATAATAATTTGATACATTTAGTATTCCACCAATACCTTTTCCTTTAAAAAAAATGTTCTAAGAGGAAATATGATTATGAGCGATTTGTAGTATTTCGTGGGATGTTGGGGATATTAACTTGTGTCACAAGTTGGAGCAATTCATTATTAAATTGATCACAAACCTAAAATGTTCCAATTGGTTCACTAAAAAGCTAACTACGACAAATAGATCTTTTAAAAATTAATTTAAATCGACCATTGTATATCACTTTGGATGTATTAGAAAATTCAAAATTAAGAATATTTTACGTTGGAACGCTCTTTCAAAAAATACTCAAGTATGCTCTCAAGTATGTTTTTTTATATTTTATGCTACATTTAAGCAATACATGATTGATCTGTATGATCACTACCTACAATTATCACTCTTTTTACATGTTTAAGTGTTTCACAACAGCGACAAATACACTTTGCTTTAAATTCTATTTAAAGAACGTTAACTGTCTTGAATATAAACATCGATTTTATGAAAACAATTTAAAAAATCCCTACAGAAAAATTATTTCAGAACAATCCTTACTGAAAAATCCTTACTGAAAAATCCTTACTGAAAAAACCTTACTGAAAAAACCTTACTGAAAAATCCTTACTGAAAAATCCTTACTGAAAAATCCTTACTGAAAAATCCTTTCTGAAAAATCCTTTCTGAAAAATCTTTACTGAAGAATCTTTCTGAAAAATCCTCACGTAAAAATCCTTACTTTCAATATCCTAAAGGCGGATATTGTAAAAAATTCGAAGCGCTGTCTGATCAAGTCTGAAGCCGCCGACGGCGTGTATCTTCGCCGAAGCCCCACCGTCGTGTGGCCGGGACTAGGGGGCTGCCGTCCCCTGTTGTCCTCCGCCCTCCGTCCTCGCGCTGTGCTCCCTCCCGCGGCGGAAGCTTCGAGACGCGCGGCCGCGCGCGAACTTGGCTATTGGAGGAGCTCTGTCGCGCGGGGTGCCGCGGGGGGGTCCCGGCGGGGGGCCGTGCGAGGAGGGGGCGCTCAAGGCCCCCCAGGGCGTGGTCCGGGCGTGGCCGCGGCGGCGCGCGCGGCGGAGACGCCTCGCTCGGCGCGACGTATAAAAGCGCGCGCGGCTCGTCCCGGAGCATCAGCTGGCGACTCCTCCGCTCCCCCGGCACTCGTGACTCCCGCAGCAGCTCGCGCTCCGCTCCACTCCAAGAAATGGCTCTCAAGCTGGTGAGTTGCGTTCGCCTCGCCCTTTGCCGCCCAGTGCTGCGTGTTGCGCTGGGGCCGAGGCCCTCGCGCCGCAAACAGGGGACGACTTGTGCTACCTTAGAGCCCTTAGAGGTTCTGCCTAGACTTGCCATTCACGGGATGGCGGAGGGACGTGCGCTCGGTGAGACGGGGAGGGACGTGAGATGTGGTATGGGATACTGATTTCAACTCATAGAACAATCACATAATCTATATTTACGTTGGAGTCTTTGATGACAAATCGGTGTTTCTATGGCTTCTTGAAACATGCCCTCTTTTTGATTTCTGGTTTTGCAACATGGATATGCGAGCACGTGAGGATTTCTTCATGTTCTTAAGTCTATGCTCTTTAGCTTGGTTTATCAATCTTGCAAATCTATCCCGGGAGATTATTTTCTAGATCTTGAAGGGGCATGGGGCGCGTTTTTGTGACATACGTGGATGTTAAGGTAATAGCTTTGTAGAATTAATAGTGAGATATTACTGTTATCACGTTCAGGACCTATGTACCTCAAACATACTCTGGGGAATTCATTGTATGTAATAGGTGGTGGGATAAGGTGAAAAGCTTGTGATGTGATAACTACAATATAATCAATCGTTATTGATCATTTTTGTGGTTTTCTTCATTAATACTTTTAATGAAACCTTTCACCAACTATTACGGGGTATTACGGGGCCAATCACATATAATTCCCATCCCTATGATAGACTGAAGTGTTTTTTTCCGACGGAACGAATGGATAGGATAACTGATGGACGTATTTTGAAACCTCTCGCATTGTTGTGTAACAAACAATTGTCGTTCACAAGTACAATTAATATTAGTTAGTTGACATTGTTTGGGAGAAAGGTTCGTTTGAAAAGATATGAAATAAAGGGCCGATAAACGAATTAGTGGTGTGGTTACTTGTACGATATCATCTGTTAAGATCATTTTTTGAGATGGAGTCTCTCATTGTCGGTTATTTCTCTATGTCTGAAATGACAGTTTCCATCTTTCCTAGGCAATTAATTCATTACTTCATAGGATATATTTTTTCTCTATTGGGCACCATAAAAATGAATGTGGTCCTTCTCTACTAGATCGTTAATACGTGTTTCCAAGACACTTTTAGTTATTGCTCCCTTCACTAACATTTCACAAACTATAATCATCTTTAACTACGTAAGGGATTAGCTCCATCTAGTAAATTAATAAAACAAAATATATTACAAACATACAAAATATATATTCGATTAATTTTTGAGAGTAGTGGCACTGCGTATTGCAGATTTTATTTTCCACCTACAATAGGCAGGAAAAACATTGTAAACACACACTTGCGACTCTCGACACATCATTGTTGCCTTAACATCGTAACTGATGTTTAGATTCCGATCGTTCTGTTGTAAAGATTTAAACGCGAGTCGGCTCGTTCGATCAGACTCTGAAGAGCTTGACGGACGTCCCTTTCGGCGGTGCCCTTGACATGCAACGAAACCAGTTGAATCGCATGCGACGCTGACAACTGGGCGTGTAGAAAGGAGATCGATCACTTGATAGAGTACGTTCTGTTAGGCCGTTCGGTCTCTGAAGATCCTAAGAAGCAGTGAGTATATACTACTCAAGTTCTTATTACTATGGTGCAACTGTCAAAATTTAACTTCCTTGCTAAAAGCGGTCAAAATTGCAAGAACGAATCCGATAAAAAACTTCAATATAATATATATGATTTTTTAAGTAAACGGTGCAGTATATAAAAGTATTTTCATTTTAAATGATTTATAAGGAATTATTTTTTTATTTCGTATATTTTATTTATTTCTATTTAATTGTAGAGTATATGCTATGAGGTATTAATTATAACTAGTACGACGTGAAATTGCATAAAATGGCAAATGGGAAAACAAAATAAACCAAATAGATCTCACGAAACTATGGGAAAAAAGTTTTTTTCGACGTTAGATAAAACATGATCATCAGATTGTCCACGCGATTAACGATGTTTTCTGCTCAGGGCACAGGTATTTGAGATTTAGAACTTTTGAAATCGAGGACAGTATTAACATTACGTATTCGTATGGCACAAAACAGTTTACATTCAATACATGCCGTCGTAACACAACACGATGATTAATGTGTGGACTGCGCACGATTTTCTGCGGCGGTGTGATATCGATTACGATAGACCGGTGTCCGGTTCCGGAATGACCGTAGAAGGAAAACGGCTACCTCGCTTGCTGCTACCAAGCGTTTCTTCAGCCTCTCGTTCACGTTGAGATTCTCAAGTGGTAGAGATTGTAGATTACCATTAAGGCTTTATGTTCATTCTAAAAATAAACTAAAATATTTTGCTGCAATCTAAGGCAAACTCTACGATGGGTCAGTATACTACGTCGGGAATACCATTCCTTATCCATTTAAATTGAGCCTAGAAAATTATCTACTTGAAAAAGGAACGTGTTCATTTAATGTTACGGGAAACGAAACAATATTCACAATTATATTAAAAATTATTTATTTAACCATTTAAAATTAATTTTTAAAGGATGATTGTAGTAAATGTGAAATATGTTTTACTGATTATGTTTCGAAAACCATAATTTGCTCGAAACATTTTCACCATAATGACTATGATTATGAAAATCATGCATCTTAATTTGAAATAACAACAATTTACTAATGTTCAACAGTGAGATGTGTTTCGAATGCCAAAAAATGTCCGAAACACGAAATGAAAGTAAGGATATTTTTTACTATTTTAATTATTTCATTTATGTAGCACTATTTTACGAAAAACGTGATGATTTCAATCTGGAACTATCACCGTCCGCTGCAGAAACGTCGAGCCAAAGTACAGACATCTCGAAAGATAGAACTGATGACGTCAATGTTTGCCTCTAAGTACCAGGCTTCAAAGCCGAGGTATTTTCCACAGGGTCTGGTACAGACAGTGTCGAGTTTCCAGTTCTCTTGCTTCCAAGGAGCGTCTCGCTACTAGATTCTACGAGAAGATTCACTTCCACCTCGTGATCCCTTCTCTTTGCCGACCCCTCGGTCAATGCACTTCTCGGAATACGTATAAGATTTCCAGCCCGGGAAATGTGATGGTGGGGGGGGGGTCGAGTGACGCAACTCCGTCCTCTCGCGGATCTTTCCCTGTTGGCGACCCTCCTCCGCTCGTCTCCGTCCTCCTGCGTCCTCCTCCGTCCCCGCGGGCGGCATCGATTTGCCAAGCGAGAGCCCGTGTCATCGGCCGCCGGCCGGCGCCAGGGCGACCCGCGTCCCAGGAGCCGCGCGCTCACCCGCCTCCTGGACACTGGGCGCCGCAGCGCCCGGACATTGCTCTGCCGGTCTCGATTTACACGCTTCCTTTCCACGAACGATCCCGGAGGTTTAGCGAACGGGCTCCTGCGCGGACTCCGGAACCCGAGAGCAGATGCGACTCTGTACGTACACGCGTTCGCTAAAACTCCGAAATCATTTCGTCGAAAGGAAGTGTGTAAACCGCGGGTGTAACATGCGATTTACGTGCTTGCTTTTGACGAACAATTCCTGAGTCTTTGCAAATACACGCATGCGCAGGGCGGCTGCTGGATCCTCAGAAACGAGGCTGCACACGCACGCACTTGCTAAAACTCCGGAATCGTCCATCGTCGTTGCATGGAAATCGGTTCTTAAAACTGTTTCCAATCGAGGGGAGTCATCTGCACAAGGACCGTTCAAGGGGGCGGTTCGCTTGGTGTCGCCCAGCGCTTATCTGTGGACCACCGGTGTGCCTCGTTGCTTCTTGAGAGAGCCCGGTGGTAGGGGATGGAAGGCGCTTGGGCGCGATCGGCTCAGTCTAGTGAGTGTCTCTCGGGCCAGTACTGCGGGCAACCGCAGACAATCTGGACCTGATACTTGCATTTGGATATCCGTGCAAATTTAACAGCCGTATGTATCTAAACTCATACACACTCACTTGCAGGCTTCTCGAATCTGCAATCAAATGAACGAGCGTTCCTCCACGGGTTAACATCAAGGCACGGACGTAAATCGAATCCATGACTCTCCGCATCGAAGCAATGATGCACTCACATCGGCCATCTTTGCGAAAGCGATAGTGTAGAAAGTCTTAGAATTTCCATTGGAACAACCGATCACAGCGCCCAAATATGAGTGAAATCTCCCATTGTGTGTTTTGTACAAAGTTCATTCAGAGAATAATTCTGATCACTTCAAATAGAATGCATGGCAGGTAAAGCGAGATAACGTAAAGTTTCACAAAGTACATTCGTTTATTCTCAGTCCACTAGCTCTCCTCATTCCACAATTCACACACGAACATTCTGTACTGTCGTTGAGGATGGGTACTCGAGCTTCGACCAAGACATTAAGTTTTTACATATCATTGCCAATTCCAGGCTCCATTTTGCATTAATCCTCTGTGCAGCTTCTGTTCATAAAATGAAGTGTAGCTGAAATATAACTAAATAACTACTCTCCATAAGAATACAGAATACATTAGCGCCTCTGGCAATACCGTTCCATCTACAACATCGTTGATCGGGAGGCCCTTGGGTTCGAATTCCGATTAGCGGATTTTCAACTCTAGGTAGATAGCTGCTTCCTATTCAACTCTCTCGAGGAGAAGTCTAACCGACCGCTCCTCTGATCGGTAATTTTTCGTTCCTGCGATCAATAAACTTTCACTGCACTACCACATATGCCGGAAGACCAATCTCAAACTTAGGACTTACCCCAACTGCCCCGATGGGAGCGATACCCGAAGAGGAAAACTGACTTGCAGGTGCGCATCGGGTGTCGTGTTCCAGCAGAATGAGGAATACCGACACCTTCCAGGACGTAACATGCCCTACAGCAGTATACCTTAGTAGTTTACGTGCTTGGAACCTTATTCTCGTTTCATACTGACTCACTCCATTACGATAAACATCATCGGAGTCGCACCCAGCATTTTTCTCGGGGAGGATGGGGAAGGGGAGCTATAGGTACAGTGACAAACCGACTTGTTTTTTCTTGTAAATATATATTTGTATTTATGCTAAATATATTTTTTTTAATTTGTTGACTCATAGTTAAAATTTATAACGTTAACAATTGTTATATCGAATGACTATCCTCAGTACAGGTAAATTTAGTAAAATATTATTTTTTATTTTTGTCGTTGTGGGCCTGTGAGCATCTGGGCCTCATCCCCGTTGCTTCGTGCGTGCGCAGGTTCTCGTCCTTTGCCTGGTGGCGGCGGCCCTGGCGGCGCCCCAAGCCGACCGCTACCCCGCCGGCCTCAACCCGGCGCTGTGCCCCAACTACCCTCACTGCGACAACAGCTTGATCGCCGCGTACGGCCCCGCGGCGGCCGCCGCGCCCCGCGCGCGCGAGTACCCCGCTGGCGTGCCCGCCGCCGCCTGCCCCAACTACCCGTTCTGCAACGTCAACCTGCACGCGCCGCCCCTGCCCGGCTTCTCGGCGCGCCTCTACCCCGCCGGCGTGCCCGCCGCCGCCTGCCCCGCCTACCCCTACTGCTAGACGACGGCCGCGCGAGGTGAGGGTGGCCACCTTTCTCTACGCGCTGCGTGCGCTCTCAGTACTCTGTTCCCGACGCACCTCTCCTCCTTCTTTCTCTTTTCCTTCACTCTCTACGGTCTTCCTCTCTTTCCCTGTCCTCTTCCTGCTAATCTTTACTCTCTCTATCTTTTTAGGGTCTTTTTTCTTTCATTCTTTAGAGTAAACACCTTACGTCTTTTAAGTATTTGACTTTATTTTTCAATGTCTATTTCTTTTAAATGTTTATTTATTATTTCATCTTTCTCTTTCTCCACAAGCCTATCATTATTTTAATTAGAATCTTTTGGATTCAGTAAACCAAATTAACTTTTTATAAGGACCAACTGACCTTTAAATATTTTAACGAAGGTTGACACGTAGCCATGTTAGCTCTCAAAGCTTTTGAGATAATTGTATTTGCTGCCTTCAGCGACCTCGGAGAAAAAAATTATAAAACAGTTACTTCTTTTTGCATCTCAAATTTTGTAACACACGATTAGATTTCTATTTCATTATGAATATTGTGTGTTAACCTGTCGAGACCAGTGAAAAATGTATTTTTGTTATTTTAACTGTCACACATGATTCGTGAAAATCGAGTTTTAATCTTTCGTAAGATTATGTGGATTTTACTCTTCTTGGCAATAAATAGTTAAGTACTTTGGGCGTAGAGATTTTATTGCTATCTCTGATTAAGTAGACATTTAAAGCTGCTGAGTTTTCCAATTTATACATAAACTTCCAATTTATCTGAATACATACTACTTCCCTACATTACTTATCGTCGGGATATGTGCGGAACAAAGACATTCTGAAATTTTTATATCTTTTTGCAGATAATGGCGAATTCTGGTTACCGACCAACTGCCCAAAGGATATTCTAGTTCAAAGTTTTCTTTCTCCCACTTAGACCAATAGTGCTGATGAGCGACACCATCGGTAATGCAGAGAGCAGCTTTGTCGGCGACGGCAATGGGCGCTATGGTAGACCGAATGGTGGATATGAGGTTTTGCAGAGCTGAAAAATACCCCTATTTTATCCCTAGCCCAGCAATTAGCACAAAAGGTGATGAAAATGTTCAAAAAACAATTGTTTGTATATGAAGTAATATTTTTGTACCTATTTGAATGTTTATTGCAATAAATTTTTGGTTAGAAAACAATTTGAGTTTGATTTGCAACACGCATCAGGAAATAACGAGATCCTTCCTATGACTTCCTCACGAAGGACCGTGAAGCCTAATGGGGACAATGTGATTGGGCTTCGTGATGGTCATTGCCTTCCTCCTCCCTATAGGGCTTCGTGTCGTGGCTCCGTTTCCTCTTAGCGACGAATGCTAAACATTTACAGTTTTGCAGTATTCGTCAAATTGGCTACTAAAACATTTCGGTATTATCACAAAGCAATTCCAAAAAATGAATATTAACGATAAAGAAAAGTTTCATGCAATTACCGTATTTTAAATAATGATTTTGTTTTAGATATTACATAACATATGAACGAATCGACTAATTCAATTCATTATTAACATGAAGTAAATCGTTAGAAACATCCCTAAAATTTACTAGGCTCTCCACTTAATATAAATAAAGATCGACTAACATTTTTATTATAATTTTTTCTCTTCACAATTACCAACCAATTCCATCTGATTACCCTTACAACTCTCGAAGAGGTATCGCCGTTTGGAGCGTTCAAGTGATATGAACACAATTTGGATATAAGAGCTGCAAGCAGATTCTACGAGATAGCTCCAACAGTGGCTCAGTGGGTACGGACGCGGCAAGGAGCGAGCGCAATCCGTACAAAATTAATTCGGACGTTAATCAATTAATAATAATAATAACAATAATAATAGTAACAATAATAATAATGTGACATTTTAGAAGAACTTTTACCTTCTTACAATTATCAATACATTGTAGCCGATTCTGTGCTCTGACTCAGAGTTTCCTGACGGTTTGTTGACAAGCCTCTTTCGTCCCACAATTCCAACACTATTAAGCCAGAGTTTTTCGAAGTATTTCCAAAAAAAAAGATAAGATCGCTTTCCAAAAAAGGGATAAAAGTAAAAGTCAAATCTACCCACCGATATTTCTTTTGACACGGTTTTTAAAATTAGTAGAAAGAGTATTTTGTGTACAACTGGAAACATTTAGAGCAAAATCAACGATCATTCAAATTGACAATTTGAATTCAGAAAATTGAAAGCCACGAAAACTGCCATATTTTATTTTCTTAAAGATGTTGCATTATCAATGTACGGTAAAGAACCACCTATCTGTGTATTTTATATCTCTCGAAAGCAATAAATCTAGTGTAAAAGCTTCCTTTTGACATTGTACAGGATTGGATCGCTTCATATCTTAAGGAAAATTAAGAAATTTTCTTATGGCATCAAAAATTACATTAACGTATCTCTTGGAATTTATGCCGATTAAATACGAAGACCCACAATGTCCCATTTTATCACAAGTGTTCATCCTTCTTTCGTGAATGATATGCCCTCTTCAGCTAGGAACGGAACAATTTTCCTATTTCTGAACGACACTGATAGTCTTCAAAAAACGAAACGGTGAATATTCGACATTTCAAATTGGTATTCGACATTTCAAATTGGTTTCATAACAATCACTTAACTGAATAAACCTGCGTAGATTTTTGCGACCAGGGGAGAGAGGTAAAGTCCATGTAAGCGAGTGGCCGACACGGCGAAGCTTATTGCCGATACTTTGGAACTACTTAATTCCTCAACCAGCGATTCATATAAAATGTAAATAAATCAGTGTAGAGGAAATCCGCAATTGTGCAACTCCAGTGCCATCAACGTAATCACAAATATTTCATCAGCAACCAGTTCAAGAAAAAACGGTCGCCCAGAAGTAAAATATTAATACACAAGACGCGGGCAAACTATGGACCTCGAAAAGGGCGCAACAAGCAAATCTGTGTGAATAAAACCGGTACAAGCGTTCCCAGCACGAGAACGAGTGTTGCTTAGGGACAAATTGAAATTCCTTTTATCCAATCAGTAAGCCAGTGAACGATATCGAAAGAAAAAATATGGATGATGAAGTTCTTAGTTTGTATACATATAATGTTTCTACATATTTAAGAGATGCTGTGCTAGCCAATGTAGTGAAGATATAGAAGATGACAATGTAGTAAGTTTGGACGTAAGTAAACAACCAAAGAAACAAAAAATCTCTAATTATAGTGCACGATGGAGAAACCTTTAGTCTGTTGCTACGAGGATTTAAAAGAGAGCTGAAAGACATTTTAGCAGCCACTTAGAAAATAATAGAGTGAAAATAAATGTAACAGAAATTGAAGTTTACCGAAACTCCAAAAATTTCTTGAAATAAAAAAGATACAATTGTTTCCTTTAGGTATATTTTTACTAATTCATTCGCAGTGCAAATGAAAGATATTCCTGATTCATATACGACAGACGAAAACCCTACTGATTTAAAACATATTACAGCATTTTATAAGTGATTATATTATATAACAAAAGAGATATCAACGTGTGTCCTGTGGAACGAAAAGACAACTCAGTCTCTACAAACATATATCTAAAACGTTTCTATTATTGTACAGTGAGATTCAATGCTAAACTAGCAAATAAAAGTATTTCAATCCCAGTAGACGGTAGACCGCCGTACCAGCAACATTGTATACTCTGTTCGTACCTGCGACAGTGATTCTAATGCCTTATATATTGTACGTATAAACGAAACTGTGATATAAGCTCTTTTTTAAGTCTATTCTGTGTGTAGCTACTACTCTAGAGAGTTGCAACTAGCGTCGAAAAGGATACATCGAGCAATAAGGAAAACATAACCTAGAACGCTCAACAACAACAACAACAACAACAACAACAACAACAACAACGTGCATCAAACTGGAAATCTTATGCTGGAGCTGCGACAAGGGTCATATTCCCGTCAAAAGACCAAGCAATTATTATAGAATCCCACGAAGGACTTTCGATAAAAGACTATGTGAGTAAAATATCAACTTTTATCAATAGAAGTAACATTCGATTTGTGTCACGCATAGCGAATAATAGGATTTGTGTGTTCTTAAGTACAAAGAAAATCCTAACTACTTAACAAATAACCATCAAACCTTTACTATTAATCATATTGAAGTTAAGTGTTAGAGCATTACCAAGCAAACATGTAGAAGTTATAATATCCAATGTATGTCCAGTAATCCCACATAAGATAATAAATTGAACGTCCAAAATGCTTCTAACATTACCATTATCAGATCTGATCTACCTGAATAAGGTATGTCCCATATCATTAGCTTTAGGAGAGAAATCTATGTCCACCCATGTGAAGTACATAAATTACATCAATCACTTTTAATCTCACACTAAGACAATATAGGCTATTTTTTACCACTAATAATATTACCTCTTTCAAATGTAAAAATAAAGACCATATTTTGCTAGTAAATATCCAATTTATAACAGCCACACACCAGTTATATAACAATAATAATAATATTTTAGTAGAGATTTCCCATCATCATGTGGCAATGCATCTGACTCAGTTATTATGGATTATTCAAACTTCCCTCCTATGAACAAAAGAATCCTCCCATCAGTATCAACCTCCTCCCCTGAGAATACATCAAACAATGATCTAAAATCTAAAGACTAAGCCCATAAACACTTAAAGAAAAGGAGAGGAAAAAATGCAAATGAAGAACCTTCTCTAGAAATAATTTAACTAACAAGTCAATAGAGAATCTTCTGCACCCAACCAAAACTTTTATTGATTCAAAACAAGACAAACTTTCTCTCTTATACACTCAATTCAAATCTTTCTTTGAAAACACTTTTGGGATACCTGACCCCATTTCTATAGTAAAAGATTACTCAACTGATTTTAATGCAATAATTAGTATGCTGAAAGAAACATGCAAACTATTGAATGAAAGATCCATAAAGGTCAGATTTACAAGAGTTATTGAAAATTTGAAAAAAATATTCCGAAAAAAGACTTCAGACTTAGGATTTAGTTTAAAGAGTACCTAAAACACTTAATGTATTTTCAGATTACAACATAGTATTTCAATAATGCAGATATAACTGATAGAATATTTTACAAAGAAGATAGTTCTGCAATGGAATCTTAACGGTTTTTACAGCAAATTAGAAAACTTACAATAAATATTCAAATTACAAAACCCTACGGTGGCGTGGCTATATATTCCAAAATATCGATTCCAAGTTAAATTCTAAAAATTAACACAAACATTGAATTTATGACAATTAAAATTAATTCAACTAGCTCATATGTATCGGAAATGTTGATATCCCTAATAGATACCCTCAACAAGAAATAGAAAAAAACATTATAAATCCGATAAAAGAGCCTTTAATAATTTTTGGGGACTTTAACTGTCGTCACTCCTTGTGGGGATCGTACAAAATTGATAAAAGAGGCAGATTACTGGAAAAAGTATTGACGATCACGACAGTATCATTCTCGGTGAACTCACGTACATTAATATCAGTAACACAGACTAAGTGTCATTGATCTTTCAATGGCTTCTCCCACAATAGCACAGAAATGAAACCGGAATGTAATGGATTTCCCATCAGTTCGCAATACTGATTGACATTTATAATCCGAATGTATTAATTATGATTGGTGCAACTCAATCTCTAATTACAAGAATATTAACTGCTGGGACTATCAGAAAAAAGGCGATGAGCATCTCAAAGAAGAGGTTATTTTCAAGGCCAGTGATAATGTTGACTAGACAGTAGTTCATCTCATTGTATCGAATGCTGTTAACCGGATAACACATACGCACCGTGCGAATTTTAAGTTCAAAAGCGTTCCCTGGTAGAATACTGAATATTAAATCGTTATTGGAAACGTAAAACAAGCATCAAACCGGTATAAAAAAGAGATAATGATAGTCGAATTAACTATAAGGGAACTAAATCCATCGCCACAACTCTAAAATAAACAAACCTAGATCATGAACCGGATATAATCCTCGTCAATCAACAGCCAATATAACGCAACTGAAAGCTAAATAAAATTCATATGTGTTATTAAGAAGAGCGATATTGTACACTTCCTACGTTGTAACGATAATGAGCGATTTTATTGTTTAGAATATTGATGTTTCAAGTATTTCGACGTAATTTTATTTTCAATTGAATTTAACTCCAGCAAATGGATGACAGACACAGCATGAATGCAGCTAATGGACCTTGCATTTATACAAAAAACGCCACCAAACTTGATGGAGGATGTATTCAACACAGTACAATACAATTCATAATTCCTTGAGCGAAGGCCGACAAGCAGCCACATTGTTTGTGCCACATTAAGTCGTCTGACTGTGACACAGCAATGTAAATGACTTCATATTCTACGCCCATCCCTTGCCTCTGGGCGTTCGCAACCTTCGAATACAACACGCGAAATGACCTTCTATTATAGCGGTTCGAGAAAAGAATGCAGGAACTGCTTCTATCTCTTCCGTTCAGTATTATTGCACAGAACTCCACATATCTTAGTTCACAGCTTTGGAAAAGGATCGATGTTACACCACAAATAAAAACGTTTTAACACATTCAAATAGTAGAGCGAATGTTTAATTCTACTGCTTATACCGCGACTGAGAACTCAATTTAAATAAGGAAATCTGACCACTTTGAATTCCTTGTTTTTGTGATATTTCTTTTACAACATAATATTTTGTTGATGGGTTAGGCATACAGGAATGATAATCTTCAACTCATTCAAGAATATTGAAAATGAGTTCGTCCGTTGTGGAAGATATGAATAAGTGAATGGTGGAGATGGAATACTACCGGAACCGGTACAAAACGAATTGTCTCTATATATTTCATTTAGATTTTTCATTTGAATTTCATTTAGAGCAAAGAGGCGCTTGCTCCAAACCACCTTCTTTCATAAGTGAAAATTTTAAGTGACAAAGAAAAATTTCTTGCATTTACTCGTGGTATGATATGATCGGTATATGTTCTCGCCACATTTTTGGAGAGAATAAGCTGTATTTGAATTACATGTTTTCGGGAAGTTCTGAGGGACCCGTTGAATTTGCAAAACTTTTTAGAAAATGAATTTTGGTAAATAATGGATTAAGCTGATTGTGAAGGAAAACGCCTCAAATGTACGAGGATATGTAAATGTAACTTTAAATTAACTTCTCCCCGTAGCACGCCACTCACAGTTTTTAATGTTTTTGACGTAAATAAATAAATTAAAGAAATAATAAAAATAAATAAACGTCATACTATATGGGGGAATTACTGACACAATACCCGAGGTGGAAAGGCAGTAGGACATGAGGCAAGATACATTGCAGCTGCTGGGACATGACCCCATCTGCATCAGATTCTCTGTTAACTTTTCTTCATTCATTGGACAAATACTGAGATGACTCCTTGATTTTCTTTTGGGCATAAATATACCTTCACTATGCGCACATTTTGTTGAGCTCTCCTTTTACTAGCTATAGTAAGAGAAGAGCCGAGAGTCTGAGTCGCTAGTTTCCGTTAGCAACACTATAACATAAAACCTTAATTTCGTTTACGGATGCAAATAAGTTTCCTAGCTTTCAAATGTTGCTGATCACGTTGCCAACTGCTTTGTCACATTCAGTGATACGATTCTTAGGTTTTCGTTTTATTATTATTATTATTATTATTATTATTATTATTATTATTATTATTATTATTATTATTATGCATATGCTAACTCTCGCTATTTATCGAATTTAGCTTAATATCGCACCCTCAGTGACATGACTGCCACAAGTCAAAATGAGCAGTTTTTCAGATGAATCATATAAAGATTTTGAAGCAATAGAAAAAATAATAAACATTATTTCAGGAAAGTGAAATTAATGTATATTAAACTTCTAACATTCTTTAATAATGTACCATAAATTACAAATACCGTGGGTTGACTATGCTTACTTTTTTATATTTGAATATAAATGTTTTGTGTTATGGCAATATTCTACTAAGTATTTGTTGAAATGGTAAGGAGTTATTGCATATATAATGAACACAAATTTCCATTATTTTAAAGGCTGCATTTGTAAATCTTTATTTAACTTTCAATAAATAAACGGACTTAATAATAGGAACAAAATTAGTGCAAAATTATTTCCATTTAACAATTTTGATTTAGATTAAGAACTATCACATTTACGACGAGTTGCATGTTGCAATGTTTCACAATCGTTTCCGTTTTCTGTAATGCTATTTCTATAATAGTTATGAAACTGGGAAGAAATTTGGTTAACATCACATAAGTCCTTCTTGGTCTCAGATATTCCAAGGTGATGTATATAATCATTTTGTATATTCAAGTATCTGCCGAAACTCTTCACCATAAGCAGTTTTATATTAATCAATGAAGGGTGCATCTTTCTTTTCATGCATCGCCTTTGTCAGTCCATAGAACTTTTTCTCCGTGTTTATTCTTGTCGAAGTTGCTATCCATTTTACTAGCTAAATGTTTCAAGTAAAAAAAATCTGTTGTCATGTGCTTGAGTTTATATGGATTTCCAGTCTTCTTAACAGTTTGTATTATTTTATGCACGAGATGTATATTACAAGAAAACTTACAAAATTAAGATGTGACTGTCTTTGATTACTTGAAGTGTTCAAAATGGCGCGAGAGGAACTCCAAATTACTTGCTCAAAAATCGTCATCTTTACGAGTGGAGCTGTGGCATATTCCCAGGACACGGACTTCATTATCCGGCACTTAAGCCAACTAATAACTCATAATTAATTTTTTAGGACTTATGACAGTCTTCCACTCGGGGCGCGATATGTCGCCATTATGTTGCTCATATTGACAACTGCAAAATAGATAAACCAAACTTTCCTGGCAGGTTTATCCCAGGGCGTAACATCTGGTCTATTGTGCTGGATTGTTCTGTCAGAATACTGCGGTCCCAGTACAACTTATGGGACTCGCTTTTAAGC